ATAATAATAAAACACTGAATTGTTTCTTGATTTATTAATTATAGTTGCCTGATATGTATTTTCTTTTGAATTTTAATTTGACAGACTGAAACATTTAACAGAACTTTTCGTTGAGTAAAACCCGGTTTTAATTTTGAGTTGCCTCTCGTATAAATAATGTTTAAAATGTCCAGGCAGAAGTCCATTTCCTTACCGATGAAGATAATGTACGATCGTTTTATTCATTCGACTAGTGGAATTTACCGTTGTTGGTACGAGACTGCACATTGGTTCGAACTCTATTTCAATTAGTTAATTGAATATTTGTTGTGGTAAATATAAATCTTAAACGTTAATATGTCCAATTAAATGAAGTATTTTAGTCTTCATCAACTGGTACAGTATAAATCTTCGCAGCATCGATAATGTCTTATTTCGATAAAAAAGTAGCTCTTGTAACCGGTGGGGCCAGTGGCATTGGATATTCTATAGTGAAAAAATTACTGGAAAATGGAATTAAGGTAAATATTAAAAATTTTATCTTGCGCGAAGGTCACAAGTTTATCTGTATCTAATTTTATACATATTTGATGTCCCATGATCGTATTTTATCTTGTTAAAAAATATATAGGAGGTATCAGCTACATATATTCGTTTCCTAAAAAACGCCGCAAGCCATAACCCTGTCAGTTATAGTCTGATTTTAAAAAACAAAAATTTATATGAAATGTCTCTAAAAACACTATAGAGTGAGCCTATTGGAGCGTATTTATAATTTTATTTTATTTTTTGAAAAGCGGTAATCAACTTTGTTTTTCAAACGGCAATATACATTTTTTTTTAATTTATTATTGTAGGTACAGATTTTTATTCTGAATTCAACGATGTATATAAAGTAATAGTTTGACTAACCATGTAGGATGCCTGGAAAACAAAAAATAATACAACAAAGCAAGTAAATGTCATTTTAGTGTTCGTTTTAGACTTTACAGAGAACTATTTCCTCGCAGAGAAGTTCCAGAACCACGTAGATTTGTAAGACTTGAAGAAAATTTGAGAAACTATGGTGCTTTTAAGAAACCAAAGCGAGAAGAACGCCAATTTAATGAAAACATCGAGTTCAATGTTCTTCTTAACGTTGAAGAAAACTCAAGAACTTTCATTCGGGAAATTTCTAATAATATTAGAGTATCAATGAGACCTAGCTGTAGATGCAGTATTGAAAAAGCATAAATTCAAGCCATACATTCCTCAATGTGTTTTGTGTTTAATTAATGTTATTTCGTGTTGAACTTTGTATACTGGTTAATGTATTTAATTGAATTGTCTTTTAATTGATATTCATTGTATTGTTTCTTTTCTGTTAACTACAAAATTCTTTTTTGAATTTTATTTGCTTTGCTGTATTATTTTTTGTTTTCCATGGCACAGATGATTAGTTAAAATACATTTGTCATGAATTAGTGGCTGGGCGCCGATTGCGGTATCGACTAATATTTTGTCGTTTTTTCTGTAATAAATGCTTTACAAAAGTCAAGTTCATATCGACGCTTTAGTACGAAAACATGCTATCTCAGATTTCGGTTGGAAAACATGCTATCTCAAATTTCAGTTGGAAAGCATGCTATCTCAAATTAAGCTTGGAAAACATGCTAACTCGGATCTTTAGATAAAACCATGCTATCTCAGTGTGACTAGAAATTTAAGTTGGCACATTGAGTGATTGAAACCGTGCATGTATAATAAACTTATATAATATATTTTTAAAAGAGTAAGGAATGTTTATGTTCAGGTACACTGTTTATTTTATTTTTTTTATTCAACATTCAAGTTGCTGTTATAAACAACAAAATTATTAATTTAAAAAGTAGAATAATATAGCGACTATAAATCAGATGAGAGTACGCTATTAATTTTGATATCAAAGCAAACTTGTAAGAAAAAAATCGAATAATTTTTAGTAATAACAAACATTTTTATATATTTATACACTATATTTTTTTTAATTTGTTATTTCAAAAAACGTCGAGTAATGTACGTGTTGCAGCATACTGCATATTATTCAATTTTTTTAATTAACAATTTTGTGGTTTATAACAGTAACTTAACAAAATTAATTGAAAAATGTCGAATAAAAAAAATAAAATAAACAGTGTACGTGAACATAAACATTCCTTAGTTTTAAAAAAATATATTATATAAGTTTATTATAAATGCACGGTTTCAATCATTCAATGTGCCAACTTAAATTTCTAGTCACACTGAGATAGCATGTTTTTACCTAAAGATCTGAGTTAGCATGTTTTCCAAGCTTAATTAGAGATAACATGTTTTCCAACCGAAATCTGAGATAGCATGTTTTCGTACTAAAGCGTCGATATAGATTCAGTAAATAAATCTGCACTATAATAAATAACAAAAAAACTAATTATATTGCCATTTGAAAAAAAAAGTTTACTATCGCTCTTCAAAAAAAAAAGTAAACAAGCTCTAATAGTCTCCCTTTATAGAGTATATAGGGCCATTTCATTTAATTTTTTGTTTTTTAAAATCAGACTATTAATAACGGAGTTATGTCTTGCGGCGTTTTTTAGGAGACAGGCTGTATAAAAGTATCTTAAGAAGTGTTAAAATATTATGATTTAATAACAAACACGTCAACTTAGGTGCCGTCACCAATTATTTCAGTTAAAGCTGTAATTAATAATTTTTTTAATAAAGAAATGGGCAATTTTCCTAGTTGTTCGAGAACTAAATTAATTTATTAATTTTGTTTACAAAATTTGTTAATAAAACTTAATTTTATCATCTTTGAAAATCTTTACTGCTTAAAATTTTAGGGTGTTGGAGTAGTTGACATTTCAGATGAAGATGGAAAGAAAGTTGAGAAGGAGTTAAAATACAAATATTTTGACAAAATACTAGTAATCAAGGCCGATGTAACTAAAAACCAAGAATTGGAAGGTAAACTTTAAGCATGTGAGTTACAAATATTGATTGTTTCTATTTTCAGATGCCTTTGAGAAAACAATAAGTAAATTTAACAATCTTGACATTATTGTAAACAATGCTGGAATCGTAAACGAGGTAGAATGGGAAAAAACCATTGCCGTTAATTTGGTAAAGTATAAATCTTTACCTTTACCTTGAAAATGAGGATTAGAAGAAATATAACTAAATTATCTATGTATGTACAACGTGTAAAACGTTTTGCGTATTGTTTGCTTTTATAATTAGAACATTGGAAATTTAAACCTCCTTCTAACTGAGCAAAAACGAGTTTTTAAAAAAATTGTAAAAATGGTTTACTATCTATTCTTGGCTTTCTTAAAACTAAAAATTTCAAATGGATTTTTTTTATTTAAACAGTAGATTCATGATGTATTGAGCGGACTGTCGTAAGCTCCAGAAATGAAGAATCACATCGTTTAACTCCAAGATTAACTCTTACCGAATTTCACATAATTACACATCTGTGTTCAAAACCTCTTCTATGACATAAGCTTGGCATTAGTTTTAGATTTTGTGGTGCAAATCTATGCTTTGCGGCATATTCCAACATCACAGCTTCAACAGTAAATATCAGTATCAGTTAAGTTGGATATGAGTATGTTCACAATTATCAACAATTCTTAAAAACCACTAGATTTTTTTGGAAAGAAAAAATAGTGTGAATTATCAGAAGCGTTCTGAATGACTACACGCCGTGTTTTTACATTTCATTTAAAATTTGTAGAATGTGCTGGAAGAAAATTAATTGATTTTATCTGTGATTTCATACACTCAACTCTTATAAACCTACCTTATATCACTGAAACTGTTATGCATAAAAATTATATTTTACATGGTTAGTCACTATAATCTGACTTATTGTGAGTTTATTATTGAAATTACAAAAAAGTTTTTAATACAAAGTTTTAGCTTTTTTTATGAATTTTTATAATACAGTATTAAAAAAAAACAACTAAATAATGGAAATCACTAAATTAAAGAAATTTGTATTTTGTAAACCCATATAGGGTGTCTACTTAGCTTCGTTAATTTTTTTTTTTTTTCAAAATGTATGTTACTATTTGATTAATGACTTTATGACATATTTCAGTTAAAAAATAATTTTGAAAAAACAGGAGGAAAATATTTATGTGTGACGGATCGCAGTGGCTATGGAGCAAGAAGCACGCGGAACAAATAAATGACTTTGACAGAAGTTTATTTATCATCATTAATTTATTCCCTATAACAAACTATTGTAACAAAGAAATAATGTTTAGTGAGAACAAAAAATTTGAAGTTACCCATTTATTTTATAATAATAATAAAAATAATTCTTAACTTCATCAAGACTTAACTTTAACAGAATTTTAATACCTAATTAATAAAAACAAACTAAAACACATATGGTCACAGATGCTCAATGTGACCTCCATTATTATTGATGCACTTCGTATAATCCTCATTAATTTTCAGAACTGCATTTAGTATGAAATGGGAATTAATTGTACTTAAATTTTGTATACATTGATCAACTTTATGTCTTAGTTCATCTAAGTTTATACTAGTTTCCTTATAAACCTCATTTTATAAGTAACCCCACAGAAAATTTTCCAAGGGTGTCCTAAGATCTGGGCTATTTGAAAACTATTGAATATTTCCTCCATTACCAATCCAGACATCAGACCTGTAATAGCTGTTTTACATTGACAATGTAAGTCGCTTCATCAAGAAATTGGACAAGTGTAATCTGCTGTTAAATAACTTCATGAATTTATTCATCAAGTTCTTGACGAATTAGAGCATGTTCTAATTTTCGTCAATTTCTTCGTGAAGTTCGGAAGTACCAACCCAACAGATTTCCAGCCTCAGATCAGTAATGAGGTTATGTTATTGAAATATGTAAATAATTGTGTGGCGTCGTACTAGTTTTGCATTGTTTTTACTGATTTGTTACTTACAAACACTAATATTTATATAATGTGTCAAAACGGTACCGCTGTTGTATCACTACAATTATGAGTGGAAAGGTGACATTTTTGAAATTTATTAACATATTAAATATTTTTGAAAAGAAAAAAAATTAACGAAGCTAAGTGGGCACTAATATGGTGTTCCGTTAAAAAATTTCTTTAATTTAATGATTTCCATTATTCAATTGTTCTTTCTAATAGTGTAATATAAACATTTATAAAAAAGCTAAAACTTTTGTATTAAAAACTTTTTGGTAACTTCAATAATGAACTCACAATAAGTTGTCAGATTATAATGACTAACCCTGTACATTTAATTCTTTTTAAATAGTAAAGTAATTTCAATTTATACTTATTTATTATGTAACTAATAGTAATAATTAAGAAATTATTTTTTGTAAGTGTTTTACCAATTTGACTTATAAAACAAAATCTAGTGTTAATGATACATGCTATTTATAGGATTATGAGTGCAGATTTCAGCAAATATAATTTTAGGTTGCAGTAATTAGAGGTTCCTATTTAGCAAAAGATAAATATTTCCCTTTACACAAATCGGGGGAAGAAGGCGTTATTGTGAATATAGCTTCAATTCTTGGACTCTTTGGTATGGATCATCTGCTTGTATATTGCGCTACCAAACATGGAGTAATTGGATTAAGTAAGATATCAGTAAAAATAAATAATATAAATAATAATAAGTGATCCTTATTTTAAATACATTTACAAAAATAGGTGCATGGGGAAAGGTAAGAATAATATAGTTAAAAATGGTCTTAAGTTAAGAACAGGGCTAATTAGTTAAAAAGTCCAATTGTCAAGAAAGTTTTATATAGTAATTATTTACTTATAAAGAACCAAGTGAATAAGATAATAAAATTAATTTTTTTTAGGTAAGTCTTTGGCTGAGCAAAAGTGTCCCAGTTCACATAAATTTAAAATAATAACCATCTGCCCCGGGACAATAGATACTCCATTACTTAGTAACCGGCCAGTTGTATTGGATTTTGCTACTTTTCAGAGAGATATCCATCGTTTATCGGAAAAGACAACTTCGTAAGTAATATAATATTTACATATACTAAAGTAGTATATGAACCTACCTTTGGAAAACTGTAACTTTGTAACATTTTTAATAAAAATACTCCACCATTTCATGTTTTCCTTTAAGTGGATATTTGCTTCCCTCTAGAAATCTCCATGCAAGTGGCAAGAAGCAAGAACAGTATTGAAGCACATTGTTTATTTAAATGTACAAAATAGTGCTTTATCTATTAAATTTAAGTCACTGTTTTTCTAGATGTGATGTGAATTTGAGTATTTTACTATCAATTATATTGAATTGTTTTCATAGGTTTAATAGAAATATTGATAACTAATATCTTTTTATGTATTTCAGGCCAGACTTTGTAGGAGAATCAGTAATCCAATTAATACAAAAGAGTAAACACGGGTCAGCTTGGATCATTGAAAATGAAGAACCACCCTATGAAGTCAAATATCCTAGTAAATTAGACTTGAGGAAATAATAAAACTTGCAATTTCTATAAATGAACTAACATACTACCTTTCGATATTTATATGTGTTAAAACATATGTACTTATTTTCAAATACAAGGTGCAGCTAAAGTATTTTTAAAAGTTATCGTTTCTATAACGTTTTCCATATTCCCTCATTAAAAAAAATTACAATTTGTAGTTGTGTATACAAACGTATTGTGGTCGGTCAAATGAAACTGAGAACAGCTGTCTCAGGTACACTATCAAAGTTGTCGTACCTACCGAGGTAATAAAATGAATTTACTAAAGCTGAAAATCGGTATACAAATTTTATATTGCATATAAATAAAAGTTATGTCAGTCAGTCAGATGTATGTGGGGACAGAGCTGGTTGCGGATACCACTACAGGACCCCTAGGGACGCCTCATGAGATATGTATGAATGTCTACCCTGCGGCTTTACAACTTATTAACCAGAGTAGAATACCTGGGCAATAGTAGTAGTACACCCCAAATTGTTACATTTGTATTGTTTATATTTATGTAGTCTACAAAAGTGAGTAAGAAATACACCAGAGTATCATATTCGCAGTGTAAATAAAAAAAGTGTAAAAGAAGGCTCAGTCGAAAGCCTCACAAAAATAATGACATTCTAAGAGCGTAACCAGTACGCTTATAGGTAAAAAAAAAACCTGGACTATACTCCAAGACTAAACACCTCTTCACCGATGGAGGAAGATGACAAGCGCGGCATTCTTTAACTCAAGCGCCCGTTGAGGTTGGCAAGATGAGGTAGGCGCTTGAAAATTTCGTTCGTCTTTTTGCAAGTGAACATGAGACGAGAGTCCCAGCACCGCAGGTAATCCCCAGAATCTCAGTACAAACTATTTCTACTACTCTACTCTCTACTTCATATTAGAGATATGGAAAATAATCAAAACTATATTCCTCGACATGGTTCTCGATCCATCCATGTCTAATATGGACACTCAGGGATCGTTGTTTTCAAAAAATGTCATCTTTTATTTCATCGATTTGTTTTGTTGAATATCGTAAATTTTCCAACACAGGAAATATTGGCCTCATATTTTATAGAATTACAATCTACATTAATATCAAAATGTTTATGTAAACTGAGGAAAAATGTTCTGACAAAACCTAGATATTCAGTACTCAGCCAATGCTTTGTCCGAAAACATTCAGAATCATCCATCTAAGAATTATTTTATGTACCTGTTACAAAAATAATCGTTTTGTAACAGGTTTTTTTTGTTATTATGGTAAAGTGTTAAATTTCCAGGTAAGTATATGTCTATAAATAAAAATGTTCCCTTTCCAAAACATCATTGTAAAAATGATAGAAGCTGTAGTGCAATATTTTTTTTTCCAGTGTGTCTAAAAACTCAAATAATATAAATTCTGCGTTTATTGGCAATTTGTACAACTTTTCTAAACGTGTGACATTAAAAAAATATAGGCAAATAACTTGTAATATGAATACCTGTAGTTATCTCCATCACTAAATTAGAAATAAATACATATAAATCTTCAAATATTTTTGAATAAATTTGAGGCAGTACAGGGTGATTCGGTCATAATGTCATTAATTTTAACCACCTAATAAACACAATAACCGAAAAAAAAAAATTACTCGACCTTTTCAACCCTATACCTAACTCCTGTTAATTCGGCGTCCTCATATTTGTTAATCGGGAACGCAGCAGAGAGCGTGCGTCAAACGTTGAAGCGAAACAGCTGCTTTCCTGAGCCATCTTAAATTTTGCAATTTTGCAATTCAAAATCAAAATGCAGCGGATCCCAATTTTATTAACAAAGTGTTATTTATGGAGGGATGAATGGGTAATTTAAATAGGTAGGTACCTTACTACTCTTTGAAAAGCAATAAAAGGCACTAGGTATACCTACTACAAACTGAATAATTAATTAACCGTAATACTAAAAACTCATATTCGGTTAAGTATAAAACATAGTGAAAACGTTAACAATATTAGAAATACTAAACTGTAATAACACATTCGAAATAATTATTATCCTTATACATTTGTTTTAATTAACAAATAAATAGTACTTGTTAATATTTAAAATGTAAAAAACTATCTTATTCATTCATGTGTCAGGTAAAAATATTTACCTACGACCACTACTGTAAGTACTTAAAAACACACTGTCTGCGATCAATGTAAGATTCCTATTACGTACGGTAAAAAAACGCACAGTTTTCCTAGCAACTGCCTAGCAACGGCCAATACAATACTGTTTGTATTGACCGTTGCTAGGCGGTTACTAGGAAAACTGTACCATTTTTTTACCAAGCTGTGCGATTTTTTTACCGTACGACGTAATAGGAATCTTGCATTGATCGCAGACGGTATGTTTTTAAGTATTTAAAGTAGTGGTCGTAGGTAAAGTATAGTACGTAATACGTGGTGTAATGCAATTACGCACTCGCCGCTACGCGGCGTCGTGCGTAACATTTCCATTCGTGCGTAAAATGCTTTTTACAACACTTATTACGTAATGTACTATTGTTTATTCCTTGTCATTCACCACGCATTAAAAGCGCAGTAAAACTAGGTTAGTTACCGAATAATACGTTAGGTAAAGATTCACTCTCGATAAATCTTTGTGGGTCAGCGGTCAAGAGCGGTCCGAAAAAGGGTTTATATAATGACTTGAAATAATTTTTTTTCAGTGTACTACTAATTTTTCTCTATCTTCCTTTAAAATTAATGACATGACTGGATCACCCTGCATTATCAAATTGGAACACACAAAATTTATCACTTGGTTCAATGATAAGCAGTAGGTTTATCATAAATTTTCATTTTAGAATTATTTGTTAAACGAAATAATAATAATCAGTGAGTGAACTATTAAGAAATGTCGTTTTTCGATCACAAAGTTGCCCTTGTAACCGGTGGAGCAAGTGGAATTGGATTGTCTATTATACAAAAATTACTACAGAATGGAATTAAGGTAGTAACAATTTTAATTTCAATATAATTATAGTTTCTAATTAGAATTGTTATTTTTTACTATTAGTATTCGTATTATGTTGTGCACAAGTTAGCAGTGCGTTTATTAGAATAAAAACATGAGACATGAGATAACTGATTTTGTAATACATGGCTCATTAAACTTTAATTTGTATATGTACAGGGTGATTCACATAATATTCTACTCCCCTTTTTTACGTTTCTATATAATAACAATGGTACACACTTAAGGTTTAAGAAATTTTATTGCAATCTCAAAGAAATAAATAAAAACAATCTTTTTCTAACTAAAATGATACTGTAATATATTTGCTTTAACAACTTGTACAATAATTTTGATTTATTACATAATCAAGATTGCCATGAAACGAGTGAAAACAAATCTTTAACTTTTCTATAAACATAAAATGTCTTATTATAAAGGGTATTTTAGAATGCTTTCAATGTGTCCTAGATCTAGGCAAAGAAAACATATTCCATATTTCTTTACAACGCCCTACTATCCATCCCATTGAGAGTATTATCTTCGTCCAATATTTTTTCCATAGGAAGAACTACACTTACATGGAGGTTAAGACTTTTTCTGAATCATAAAATTATGGTTTCATAAGAGAAACTTAGTTAAAACAATGTCCTTTGCCTGGAACCCAATGGGTTATCAAGCATCTCTTATAGTTTAACATTTTTTCTTGATAAAATATTCTGTTTGGTAAAATTGGCAGAGAAGCAAAAATATGCACTAGTTCCATAGCAATCTTGACTTTATCCGTTGTGAAACGTCAGTAAATAAATCAAAATAATGTGAAAATTATAGTATAAAATACTTTATGTATTTGATGCTATTATAATCAGAATATATCGGAATTAAAAAAAAAACAAAAAACCTGAGACACGTCGATTTTCTTTTCAAGGAGAACACGTGTCTTGGAAGCTACCACTTAGCCAGGGGGGCGTACAATACCCTTAAAATTTAAGTGGCACACTATGTTGAGTGACACCTCATTTCAAAGCTCAATTCTGCTCACGACGACATACGACTTTTTAAATTTTGGTTTGGATATGACAATAAAGTCATCACTTAAAGAATAAGGCAAAATAGCAATGAATGGAACAATGTTATTTTATTAAATGTTCAAATTGGTTTCCCTACGATTCCATACAATAATAAAATGTTTGCTCCACTTCCGAACAAACATTTCGAAGCATTTCGGGAGTTATCTGATGACATTCTTCAACAATCCGAAGACGAAACTCCTCAAATGAGTTCAGTCGTATTGCATAAATTTTCAACTTCAAGTGTCCCCATAGAAAAAAGTCTTAGGGCGTTAGATCTGGCGATCTGGAAGGCCACTCAATTGAAACCCTGCGTCCTATCCAGCGATTTTAAAAGTTCTGATTAAGAAAATCACGCACAACTACATCATAATGTGGTGGAGCACCATCCTGCTGAAACCACACATCTTCATCCTTGCAAAGTCATTTTCTAATACTTCCACAATCATCGGGTAGATATTCGTTTCCAGTAGATTCAAATACATGTTTCCATCCAGATTTTTCGGTAGGAAGGAAGGCCTTATGAGGTGGCCTCCCAGTATGCCCGCCCAAACATTCAATTCCCTCGGATGCTGCGTATGAGTTTCATGAAAAATGCGTCGATTATCATCACTCCAGTAGCGACAATTATGGCAGTTGACTCGACCATACGTTAGAACATACATTCATTGGAAAAACAGATTAACTAGAAAAAATTTGGATTCCTTCGAGCACGATCACTCATTTCTTCACAGAACTGCAAGTGGCGATCAGGATCGTCTTCATTAATTTCTTATACCAGATTAATTTTGTATGGGTGGTACTTATGAATTTTTAAGATTCGGCGGCAACTAGGTACAGAAATTCCTGGAGTACTTGCAAGTTTCCTGAGACTCTGTTTCCATTGCGATGTGACCCAAGACAACTACCTAATTACCCTCATTACGTATGACCTGTTCACGTTGATGCTTTCATTCATTAATATTTTGTCTTATTTTTTAAATGATGATTTTATTGTCATATCCAAACCAAAATTTAAAAAGTCGTTTGTCGTCGTAAGCAGAATTGAAAAAGCTTTAAAATGAGGTGTCACTCAACATAGGGTGCCAATTAAAGGGTAAGGGTATTTTACGCCCCTGCCTAAGGGGTAGCTTCCAAGACACCAAAACTTATGCCATCATGTGTCCCCCTTCAAAAGAAAATATAAGTCTCTCAAAGCGCAGGGAGACCATGATGTCATACCACTCATTTGCAACTAGCCCATATATTTGGTTGTGTCCCACACATATTCCAATTCCAAAAATTCAATACGTACCTATAAATTGGCATTTGGCATTAAACTGCAATTTGTTATTTTTTTTACATGGTGCAGTCGATATTAATTTGACATTATTGATGTATATTTAGGAAAAGAGAATACATTATTAAGGCATATTCTAATAATAATGGTATATATGTCTAAATCAAATTAATGTTTATCATGAGTTGGTAGAAAATACAAAGTTCAATAATCAGCTTATTTGTATAAACATATACAGGGTGTTTCATAATAATGTGCAAATATTTTAAGGAGGTGTTTAGAAAGTAATTTTAGGAGGGTACTTCCTACATATTTTTTTTATTTGAGCCTTCCCCCCCTGAGAAAATATTAAAATGTCAAAATGGTCGAAAAAATTAGCTTTTATTTTTTTTTCACGAACACGGTTAAACTTAGAAATTTGAATTTTGGTACACGTTAACTAGTTGAATAGTATTTTTTGGTAGTCTTTTTTTCTGGTTTATGTCTTTGAATGAAAGAAATTAGCACCCCTTGGTTTTATTTCTTTCGCAACTTTTTTGAAGAAGAAGAAATATCTTTTAGTACTACATTTCATTTCGAAACTTTTTTACTCTTCCCATTTTTTCGTATACTAAATAGTTTACGAGCAAAAAATAAATTATTTTTCGTTGCCCATAGGTTCACATAATTAGTATACCTAATAGTTACCAAAAACGATTGTCATTTTTGTCATGATTTTTGCAAAAATTCTTTTTTTATTAATAGGAAAAGCTAAGAAAATATGAACGTAAAAATTTTCTCAGGGGGAAAATCGAAAAAAATTTATTGGGAATAACCCCCTTCAAATTACTTTTTAAACGCCTCCTTAAAATATTTGCACATCATTATGAAAGACCCTGTATAACCACTATTTTTACCTATAGAAATTTTCAACTGCTGGAACGTAACACACAGTTCATATTTGGATAAATGTTTATAACAACAGTGAACAAATGCCTATATCTAATGTATTCTATTTTCTTTTATAGGGAGTTACAGGAGTCGATATTTCAGATGAAGATTTGGAGAAGGCTGAGAAGGTTTGCAATACAAATTATCCCAATAAAACGTTATTTATGAAGGTTGACGTAACTAAACCACAACACCTTGAAGGTTTTGAGGAATACCAAAAAATTAATGTCAATTGAAATATTTCTCTATTTTCAGATGCCTTTGAAAAGACAATACACAAATTTAAAAATCTCGATGTTGTTGTTAATAATGCTGGTATTATAGATGAAGTCCAGTGGGAAAAAACACTTGCTGTTAATTTGGTAAAATTTATTTGCACATGCCCAATATGTAATCTACAAATTTTATAACAATTTTATGTTTAAAAATTTAGGAAGCTGTCATTAGAGGTTGTTATTTAGCAAAGGATAAATACTTCCCTAGCTATAAATCTGGAGACGAAGGAATAATCATCAACGTTTCTTCTGTTACTGGATTTAAAGTAGTCGAAAATATGCCAGTATACTGTGCTACAAAACATGGAGTAATTGGTTTAGGTAAATGTAAAACATATTCTTTATCATAAAATTTTAATGTTAGAAACTATATCTCCTATTTCAAAGTTTTCAAAAGTTATAGTACATATTGCCATAGAAGTTATTTTTAAAAGAAGAAAAAAATCACAAATTAAGTTAAATAAATAGTTCTAAACGTATAATTTTACTTATTTATGTAATTTAATAAATACTAGTTTAAATCATTTTAATCATTTTGGTATCATTAACTTCTACACTACAACTAAAACAACAGGAATCAAAAAAATTTCCAGGAAATCTAATTACTTACGAAACTATGCTTAAAATGTTAAATTCAAAGTATCTTTCTTCTCTTATTAGATGACTGTTGTTAATTTTTTTTATTTAGGAAAGGCGCTAGGGGCACAAAACAGTAAAACTAAAGTAATAACTATTTGCCCCGGACTGGTATCGACTTCACTTCATCAGAAAATTGTTGCACTAAAACCGACAATTCCGAATTGGGCTGATTCTGTTAGAAGTTTAAAACCCACATCGTATGTATTACATACATATATATTTTATTCATTCATATTTCATTCTACACGAAAGTAATACTAATTTTTCTGTTACATAGCCCAGAGTTTTTAGCAGAGTCGGTGATCAAATTAATGCGAGAAGGTAAACACGGTTCTATATGGATGATTGAGAATGAGAATCTACCTTATGAAGTTAATTATTAATAACAAGTAAATAGTGATTCACAAAAACATTTTAATAAATGAGTATTTTCTAACAAACAATACTAAATCAATAATGTAAAGGTAATATGTACTCATCAAGTCATAAATACTAACATTATTATATAAAAATAATAATTAATAAATAATAATAATTACCTACTTGTTATTTCTTTTGTTGGTGAATGACAACCATGTTTAGTTCTCTGAAATGTTGCCGCCGGTGGCGAAAGTCTCGGCAAATAGAGGTACGGCATAAACAAAAATACGACAATAAATAAATATCATCGAAAAGTAATTAAGAACTGAATAAAAAATGTGTATCCACAAAAATTGGGATTAGATGAGTCATGAAAAATGCAGTCAATGTCGTAATTAAATCGTTATAGTTTTCGAGAAAAAAAATATTGTAGTTGTAGTATTTACAACCCTTACATTACTGGTCTATTGTAGTTATTCGCGTTATGAGTTGGATGCAAGGCGCTCTCTCTCTTCACGTGGCCCCAGGTGATTCCGAACACTGAAATCCGATTTTAATATTAACGTTTTTGCGATAGTGTTTATATTAGTTTTTCAAGTGTCAAAAATGGCTTACGTGTATAGCAACTCGGTGTTGATGGATATCGTTTCAATTTATGGTAAAGAAACACAACATTTGTGTTATGGCGAAGCATTTGTGTTATGGTGAAGCAAGACAACATTTGTGTTAATTCGTAGAAACCCAAATGTATTTACAAGTCGGTAGATAAAATTCTGAATAGTTGTCAGTCAAGTATGTCAAATTATTTTATTAAATAAAATCACAAATTAATTTTATTAATTAATAATAACAATAGCGGCAAAAGCAGTTAAATTTGCTATTATATATATATATATATATAGTCCATTGAAATATTACATTTTTTTGGGCTTAGCGTGCAAAAGTCAGAGCACGCAATTTTATTTTTTAGATGTCAAGAGGGGGTTAGTGTAAAGTTAAATCCATGTTTGTGGGGTCACAACCCTTGTGCATCGGCCGCCATCTTGTAAAAAGGGCTGCGAATGGTTTTTATACTACTACTTTATACAAACTATTCGTCTATTCGTCGCACAGAAAATTTGTAAAGACATTTTTTGTTGCAAATTAAATTCTCTACAAAACTTTTAGTCGTAGAACCAAAATAACAAAATTATTAACGAAAATAGATAAAAATTTGGGAACAAATTTTCTTTTCGTCGTTATAACTTTTTTTTCTGGTCATTTTACAAAAAAAATACATCGGAGCATTTTGATAGGGGGATTTGATTTATTTCTTAAGGTTTTACAGCGATGCGAAACTTACACTATTCTCCAGTACTAGTAAGTATACATTACAATGTTGTTAATTAGTTATTGACTCTTTTCCCCACCCCCTACGAGGTAGAGTCTGGTGGCGCGTTTTTTTTTACGTCGTTTCCCTAGTAGGCAGAATCCACGAATATTTTCTAGCTGACATAATAATTAGTGTAATTAAAAATATCGTAATATATTTCCCAATCTACTGTGTCCTCAGTCTCTTTGATGGGCCGGGCTGCGACTCAGGATCTGGTTGTGCTTCCGATATTGAATTGTTGAGGAAGGATGGAGAATGAAGTGGCGTCATTGTTGGCAGTCAATCTTCAAAATCATTCTCCTCGATCAATTTTGATATCTCCATTATGTTGCTGCATGTCTCCCCAAAACAATTCAGGCACATAGTAGAACATTTGAGGCTTGCCTTCCGACATCCTCACATTGCTCCACAGTTTTCTTTGCGTCGGCAGAATATCAACTTTATAAGCTCAGGGGGTGCTGGAGGTTTTGAACTTTGAGCAGGCATCAATATTTGTCCATACTTTTTCCAGACCCAGTCTTGAGGGTCGTTGTAATTCCCGAGCCACGACTGGACCTGATGATAGACTCGGAGGCTGTGCAAGCGGGCTGTGTCTTGTATTGGAGGAAGTGAAGACAAATTAAATGTATTCTTTGTCACTGACTGGCGAATCGTTTATATCTAAGACTGTCAAGAGAATCATCATCTTTATTGCCACCTTATAAAGAGATGAAAAAAACGTTTGCCAACGGCAGTGAGCAAAGTAAGGTCGACTCTCTCATTGAGGAATAACGCTGTTCCACTAGCTAACTCAGGACGTGTCTCCAGGGTTGTGAGAAATTTCATTTAACCGATGTTGTAAGCTGCTGAAGTCGTGTCACATCCTGAGAAGGCATGGAGAAACAACAGATTATCCACAATGACATCTCCGTACATAAAACTTGACGGACAATATAATTGTTCGGCTGTACGCCCTTTTTATGGTTAAAAAAAAATACATTTGAATGTGTTCTCCCAAATGCCGTGAGCAAGACAAGAATGTCGATATCTTCGGCGACAATAGTGACTGAGTCGAACATTTTGGGATGCAGCAAGAGCGAAGCGAACGATGAGGGTATCTGCATCTGATTCTGCTTGGTCGACACTGAAACCCACCTCTTGCCCACAAAATTCAAAATAGTGTCCACAAAACTCAAAATACTTTTCACAATTAAATAGGTACGTCACGCACGCACGTGGTAGCACAACTGGAGGACACCTCCTATGCCTAATCATTCATATAATGTATAATAATAGTGTAATAAATGAATCAAATTTGAAAAATAACTATCAAAATGCTCTGATGTAATTTTTTTGTAAAATGACCAGAAGAAAATTCGTTCCCAAATTTTTATCTATTTTCGTTAATAACTTTGATATTTTTGGTTCTAGGACTAAAAGTGGCTACGGAACCAAATTTGTAGAGAATTTAATTTGCAACAAAAATGTGTTTACAAATTTTCTTTGCGACGAATAGTTTGTCCGATATAGTAAGTAGTAGTTTTAAATCCATTCGCAGCCCTTTTTACAAGATGACGGATGATTCACAAGGGTTGCGACCCCACAAACATGGATTTAACTGTACACTAACTCCTTCTTGACATCCAAAAAATAAAATTGCGTGCTCTGACTTTTGCAACCCCAAATGTAACTTTTCAATGGACTAATATATATAATTGACCAAATCTAGAATTTAAATCGATTGGTCAAAGTAAAAATAAAAAAAAGATGATGCAATGCCCCAAAACGCTTCGTTGGACCAATGGTGCAACTAATAAATGGTAAAAACCTCGGATTTCAAAAAAGTACGTCGGCCATAAGTCTAATAGTATACTGTATTAGATTTATGAATGACAGAGATATAGTGTGTCACTTTTAGTGAATGTGAGAATCTCATAAATTTAATGCTACTAAGGTATTTTGGAAATTCGAACACTGTAACTTCCAGACATATTTGATATAAAAATGTTTTATTTTATCCTCCATTTAATTTAGTACTAATTCTATGTTACGGGAGTCTACATTAAGATGTATTAAAATATGGAATTTAAGTTATTGTTAATTTCGTATTAGTCTTTGTCCAGCGTACTAAATTATGCGGATCGAAATTTATTTATCAATTTCATTACTGTTGGTAGGCGTTTCTTCATTAATACCTAGGTTTTAGATGTAGTGAATTTTATTTTATATTATTGATACCTGTATGAATTATTAAGCAATACAATTCTTTTTTAAATTTTAATAGATCACTACAATCCAAAACAAATGTGTTTGCATAACAAAATAAAATCCATGAATGTGAACAATAATTTAGTTTATATTTAAGTTAAAATTACATCACCAAATGGTATAATAAAAATAAAGTACTGTTTTTTGCATGTGTTCTAATTATTAATATCCACGACGCCTACATCATCAGCGTTCGCCTGTCTTCCCTTATCCTTTCTAGATTTCACGCAAACTGTAAATAATTAAATTATCAATTTCATGAATGACAGTATAATTCTTATAAAATACCACGCTTCGATGTTTCCCATCCAATAAAAACTTCGTTCTTTTCATTTTCCTTTTCCAACCATTTTTGCAAGGGTTTAAAATATTCCAGAAGGTCACTGGCATCCATCTTTCGTTGTCCTGTTAATACTTCCATAGCATCTGGCCATGGCCTCGATGATCCCATAGAGAGCATTTGTCTGGAAAATTAAAGTTTGATTTATACTATAAAAATTCTATCCTATGTTTTTTAATTAGAGTAGATTGTAACCAATGAATAAAAAGTTAATTTCCGTTATAACCAATTTCGAGGGCATAACAGCGACGTTGGTGACTTATAAGAAGAGATCATTGATAAGACTGACTAAAATAAATAATACAATTTCTCGCCTCTACTTCAAGGGACTGAAATTATACAAAAAAATATTTTATTACTTATTTATGGTTATGATCGATTGATGCATAGTATCTACCACATTTTAGAAACATTTCATTTTTTTTTTGACGTGTGTAAGTAACAACAAAGTTAGATACAGTACCATAACATGAACCTACAATTTAAAAAAGACAAACTTACTTGAGAGCATTTCCTGCATCTGTGTTCTGATAAATATCACATTCGTGTAGATTTTTATTTGGATTATTAGGTTCATACTGACCAGCCTTTTCGCAAACAGCACGATGGAATTGGAACTGTATCACGAAACTTATGAAGTACCTGAAAGTTTACAAAAATTAAGCATAGTTGTATAATATTAATGTGTTGAAAGGTCAAGAACTATAGGTAATCATCGTTATTATATTATTACCTACTACAAAGAAGATGTGATATGTGTAAGGAATAGTTATATAAATATTCTCAGTTAAATATAAAAAAAATTATTTGACTATCAATTTATGTACCTACTATACATAATCAAGAATTCAATCAAAATTTGGAGTTGTTTAATCAAATAACTATATTTTGTCAATGAAATGTGTAAGCTTGAAGGTGTTAGTGATATTAGATAGTCAAGAAATACTGAAATGGAAAAAAGTAATAGATGATACTCTAGACCAAGGGTCGGCAACTGGCGGACCGTGGTCCAGGTCCGGACCGCGGAAGGTAAAATACTGGACCGCCAAAAATGTTTTGAAAGTATAAATTACTCAAATAAATTATTTAAAAAATGTTTTTTTACGTCTGAGTGCCAACCTTATCATTTTTTCTAGTATTTTACAATTGTGTGAGTGTTTTGAGTTCTTAATGGTTAGTAAGCAGATTAAATTTGAGTTTAAATGAAAATTTGAAAGAAATATGAATTTTTTTCTGGACCTCGTTAAAAATTTTTAAAATTATCCGGACCCCACCTAAAATTACTTGCCGACCCCTGCTCTAGACTAAAATTACTAATACTATAAACGAAATAATGAAAATTCTTTTGAAAAAATGAAATATTTTGCAACAAGACAAAAATACTGTGTATGAGTGAACAAATTGTTCCTAGCTGCAACAGGTTCACGAAAGAAAGAGCTATTCTATCTCGAAATGGACATGTTTTTTTTCTACATATATAATTATATGTTCAGTTTAACCCAAAATAAGCTTTTGTACTATATTATTATATTATTAATTATTTTATTAGTTGTTTACACATGAATTCTACTTAAAGTTGACTCCAAAGTAAAATTTTTAGTTCGCTGTTTATTTTAATATTTTTCTGTAATTCTAAAAATGTATTTTGCTTCCCTAGAGAATGCTAATTAAAATGTTTAAAATAATCTACCAAATAATGGTAGATGATATTACAGAAATAAGGAAGTCTAAATATTTTGTACGAATAAATACATTCTTGTATTTAGTATAATAGACATAACAGTTTTAATTATGTTGTACCTAACCTGAGGTATGGAACATTGGAAACTATGTGATACTTGGCAGCTGGGTCAAAATCGTCCTCAGATCTATCAACAGGAGGTTCAACACCTTGATATTTTTCTCGGAGTTCCCACCACTTGCAATTATAATCTTCAGGTTTAGTTTTTCCGGAAAAGATATCCCATCTCCATAGGTCCATAAGGTATCCGAATGGTAAGAAAGTTATTTTATCCAAACCCACCTAGAAACATTAAATAATTACATTGTTATACTGTATACATATATTCGTACATATTCATGTATAAAAATGAGTATGTACCTGCGAGAATTAACTTCGTAACACATAATAAAATATGCCTTCAACAGGGTGGACACTTTTAAGGTGCACACCATTAGCACAGATTAGATAGATACCATTAGCTTTCCTGAACTAAAAGACTGTATATCTTTTGCAAAATGGTGCAAAAATACAATATGGCGTCCATAAAAAAATCAGTAATTGGTTATGAAAACATAAGGATCTAGGAGGCCCGGAAAATGTTTCAAGATTAAAGATATGGAACAAATAAGAAAAAAAAAAGTTTTTTCAGCTAATTTCAGGAACAGTGCAACTTCTTTTCATAATCTGAAATGGCATGGAAATATGCAACTCTTTTGTAATTTAGCCAGTCCTATATATCTTCTAGTACAGGAGATACTAATGGTGTACACCTTAAAAGTGATCACCCAGTGTACATATTGAGTACCTAATAGGTGCTGTTATTATCTTGCTTAATGTAAATCTTACGAAGATATTTGATCGTTTATACCATAGATTTGTTAATTAACTATTAAAAAATAAATGTTAAAAAAATATACAGGGTGATTCACAACTTATCCAAAAAAATTTGGGAATAGATGTAGCATGAGAAATGGAACCAATATTGTAAAAAAAAAATTTTTGTAAAATCCTTATAGTTTCCGAGAAAAAAATATTAAAGTTATAATACATTCAACCACTACATAGCTGGACAACTATTATAGTCTCTAGCGTCATTCGCCACGTGGCTTCAGCGACTCCGAATACTGAATTCGAATTTTGCAATCGTCGTTGCGATATTTACGTTATCTGTGGTGTTTTAGTAGTTAGTGTCAAAAATGGGCAGTTAGTGTCAAAAGTGGTTTGCGTGTACTCGGAGTTGATGGAGAATTTATGGTGAAGCATTTGTGTTATGTTGAAACAAGACAACATTTGTGTTAGTTCGTAGAAACTGTGTACAACGGACCCAAATGTGTTTACACATTGGATAAAATATTGAACAGTTGTTATAACATCGGGTATGTCAAATGATTTTATTATTTAAAAACACAAATTAATTTTATTAATTAATAAAGGCAAAAGCAGTTGAATTTGCCGATATAAAATAGGTTCGATAAAAATCTATTTACATATTTCTTTCCTTGCGAATGTTTTTGTCCGTTTTTATCACACCGCCATGCCGGTCGCATTATGCTAGGTCAGGTTTTACAGTGGACCAGTTTCCAGTGCCGTGCAGAAGTGTATTTTTAAATCATTTTCGAACTGCCCTTTTTGATTTTTCTTTACAAAATTGTATTTGTAAGGGTCCCCTGTACATCCAGAATTTTTTTTTTTTTGGATAAGTTCTGAATCACCCTGTATATCTTATTCCTAGTTACAAGACATTCCCAGAGCTGATCTGCACAAAAATGTAGAACACCATTATGATTATTCTGATAACTTTATTAATTACCTTAAATAAATTATTCAAGACAGATTGGGGATTGTCCTTTTCAGATTTTAGCAGTCCAATTTTTCTTAAATGTTTTGTTGATCGAACTGACAAAGAAATTAAATCTCCTACTGCTTCGTGGAAACCTGCAGATAATATTGTTATAAAAAATAATGTTCACTGCAAGATATGCAGATTATGTTTTCTGATTTGAATTGTCAAATATTTACCATCATTAGCGCCTTCTCGGAATTTAACAGGTTGGTCCTTGTACTGGAGAAAATATTCTATGTGTCCCATTTCATGATGAGCTGTTATAAATTGTTCCTTGGTAACTTCAGTACATTGTTTAATTCTGAAACAAATTAAGAGAAAATTGATTAATATCACAGGTACAATTATTTTTAGAAGTAGCAGATTTATTGTTCTAGGTTTTACAATCGCATTAAAAAACTAAGTAATAAATAAGACAAAATGTAAGATTGTATTTTTAATATATGTAGGTAACTAAAATTGGGCATACTACAAAAAGTTCACATTTAAAGAAAATATCTTGATAATTATGTATGAAATAAGATGAGACGCAAATCATATTTATGTTAAGAATAGTTATATACGTATTAGATATGTTTTTTTTTACTCACCTAAAATCTTTTTTGTCAAAGAAGTCCCAAGCTGAAGCGTGACATACAATCTCTCTGTCGGTGGGTTTGCTTAAAATAGATTTTTCCCAAAAGGATTCTGGCATTTCTGTCAAGTTAATAGATTTGAAAAACTCTTCGGATGTTTTAAATATACGGACAGCCGTATAATTCTGAAAAAGGAAATCGATACAAAATATTGTACCTAATTTGCATTAGTTTTAATAGTTTCAATGTTTTTTCGAATGTTTTGTAAAATTGTGACTTTAAATATACTATTTCTGTATTTGTTGTATTAATGAGTTGTGTTAGTATTAACATTTTTTATTTTACTTTTCTGATGAAAATAAATGGGGATACACATCCAAATGTGTATGTAATGTGTTTTTTGTGGAAATTACGTAAATATAATGCAGCGTCAAAATAACTGATAAATTCTTATGGGCATTCTTATATACATAAAAGTATATTGAGCATATATTTTTCTTATATAAAAATGTTTTCTCATATAAAACAATTAAGTAGAAGAACATTTAACCACTTGTTACATACTTACTTGTTTCAACAATTCCAGTGTTAAATCTTCATCTTCTATATCAGAGAATGGTAAAGCTAAGTCTGCAATATTGGACCAAGTTTGTCCCCACATATTACCTAAAAAATCCAATTTCAAATAATCACAGACATCAAAATATGAATACTGTTTCTAGATCGCCTTTGACCCAAAATTCGTGGCAAAAAAACAGTAATGCCTACCTAAGAGATGAGCAGGAATGGGCCCCTTCTCGGAAACAATGTCTCCATATTTTTGCCTCAGTTTGAATCTCACATAAGCGTGTATTTGTAAATAAATAGGTTTGAGTTGCTCCCATAAGTTTTGTATGTCATCTTTAAAATTTGGATCCTCGTAATCATATAACCAATATTCAGAAGTGTCGGAAAAGTTATTGAGACGGGCTGCTTCGTTACTTAAATTTACGTAATCATTGTAAAGATCTCTACATTTCGGACCTATAGCGTTTCTCCATTCGAGCCAAACGTGTTTCAATTCATCGGGATTGCGTGAGGTTTCCAGTATATGAGTAAGGTCTAGACAGTAGTAATAGGAGTAAATATTAAGAATATGTTTTTAGAATAGTTCAACATAATAATTTTTAAAATCACATTGGCAGAATATAGTAATACCAAGAAGGAAACATATGGATCGTAACTTATTACACAAGCTTATACAGGGTGATTCAGAACTTATCCAAAAACAAAAATTCTGGATGTACAGGGGACCCTTACAAATATAATTTTGTAAAGAAAAAATCAAAAAGGTCAGTTCGAAATTGATTTAAAATATACTTCTGCACGGCACTGGAAACTGGTCCACTGTAAAACCTGACCTCGCACAATGTCACCGGTATGGCGGCGTGATAAAAATGGACAAAAACTTTCGCAAGGAAAGAAATATGTAAATAGAATTTTATCGCACCTATTTTATATCGACAAATTCAAATGCTTTTGCCTTTATTAATTATTAATAAAATTAATTTGTGTTTTTAAGTAATAAAATCATAAATTAAAACGATATCCATCAACTCTGAGTTGCTATACACGCAAGCCATTTTTGACACTAACTACTAATAAACTGATGTAAATACCACAGATAACAGGTAAAAACTACCGCAACGACGGATTTCAGTATTAGGAGTCACATGGCTCTCCACGCGTATTGCGAATGACGCTAGAGACTACAGTTGTCCAGCTATGTAGTGGTTTAATGTGCTATAACTTCAATAATTTTTTTCTCAGAAACTATAAGGATTTTACAAAAAATTATTTTACAATATTGACTCCATTTCTCATGCCGCATCTATTCCCAAATTTTTTTGGATAAGTTGTGAATCACCCTGTATATCTTAGCGGAAGGCAATAGATTTTTTGTTAATTTGCATAGTTACCTATTAATGTTATACTACTGTTAATAAGAGATATTACTAATCTACTAGTTGTTAGCAAAGGAACAGAACTTGCTTCTATATAATTTTTCCACAAAAGACGTATCTTTGATTGATTTAAATCGCTGTGAGTAAACAAATTAAAATAAAAGACAGAGGTGGCAGAAAAACAGAAAAATAGAAACATTTAATCATTAAAGTCAGACAGGAAGACAGACAAAGTTACCGATCGAAAGGCAGGATGTCAGGTAGATGGACAGAGAAAAAATACAGGCGGACGATAAATTCGCTATCACACAAACAGGTGTGCAGGTAAAACGACTGACAGATAAACCGACAAAAGTAGGCAGGTGAGTATTCGTATTTTTTTTCCAATTTCTTTCGCCTCCTATTCTTACTTTAACCTCCTATTCTTACTTTAACCTTCAAACGACCTTCAAACATGAGGTGATAGAAGATTCAGACTTAACAAGTCAAAAAACCTATGCCACCTTTTCCTAGTTTGACCTTCAAATGACATTGAGCCTGACGTGATAGAGCTTAACCGACCTCGGCATCGGTATCAGTATACGGTGTTTTTTTATTCAAACTCTTGAATTCATATTTCCATGTTTACTTCTTAGAACTAAAAATCAGTCTAGTAAAATTGAAATAATTTTTACACTCTTGATATTAATAGGAAAATGAAAATTCGAAAAACATTTTTCTGGCAATATTAGAGATACAAGGTATGTCTTCAAAACGGTGCATGATTTGCTAGGTGAAATTGTTATACGCAACATACAATGAAGAGATCAAATCTAAAAACAGTGATGTTCTAAAATGTCGCTTGGAAATACTAGTGACATCTACATAATAGTAGAAACAACAACAGATCCAAAATCCAAAAGCAAAATACGATATGGTTTAAAGTCGTTTTATATTTTCATTTCCTATTAGTACTTGAATTTATGGCAGCCAAAACACCCTCTTTACTCGGTACGATCTGTGCTTTTATAACAATTCTGCCCTGTTAATTCGAAAGGTCATGTGTACAAGTCTTGAGGCTGAGAAATCCAGTTTAAGTAATGCTAATAATATGTATAAACAATACATATAAATAAGATTAGGTAATCTTTTATAGTTAAAAACAGTCAATAATATGTACAAATTTTTAATAAATACGCCCGTTCAAGTTAAAAACTGTTATGATTGAAAGCCTCTAGTAACTACAAGTAAGATAGCATTTCATTAAAAGATTCTAAATAAATACAAATCCGTTTTATATTAATTAACTGTACATTTTTTCATCATTTTACCTGGCTCCAAAGCTAAATCACATTTTTCAGAATCCTTAAAGTCGCATATTTTGGCTGTCGAATAGACTGCTTCCATATCGCTGATCGTTTTGTGAAACTGTTTAAATCTGTCTTCAGGAAGTGCAGCTTCGCCCAAAACTGCATATTTAGAAAATTGCCTTTTCATGCCATAGTTCGAAAGTCCTCGCCAGCTGTAAAGATTGACTTGTTGCCAAATCGTCTTTTCATCTTTTGCTGCTTCAGCAGCCACTTCTAACTGCAATTAAATATTTAAAATTCAGTTTAATCGTCAGGATAGCAACATTGACAAATAGTAACCTTGTAGCCTTATACAGGATCTACAGGGTAGCACTAGTAGCAAAGCAGCACTCCCGGTTAACCGGAAGTAGCTGTCAACTTCGTTATTTTAAATGGAACACTCTTATTACATTATCGACAAGATAAATTGAAATATACGTCAAAAAAGTTGAAGCTTCCCTGTACCTAAATCTAGCCGTTTTCGAGATAATCGACATTTTATAAAAATTTTGACAGATGCAAGCGTTTTGAAAATTCCTTATATCTTTCTTCGTTTAGGGAGCTTTCACTTACTTATTGGAATACACAAAGAACATAAGATGCACTACCTTCCGCTATCAAAATTACTTGAGGAAAGTTATATTAAGAGTACCATTTTTCACGTTGCATTTTGAAATCTTAAAACAGACAAAATGTTTTAAATTCAAATGGAACATAATTATTTTGCTGCATCATATTATAGAAAATCAAATTCTCTTTTCACCGATATAGGTATTGTAGGGGTTACAGATTCAATTTTCTCAGATATATTCGGTTTACTTAGTCTCAATAATATTACATTAAAATAACATCAAATGCGCCTTAGGGTTGTTGACTATAAAAACAAACCATATACAAATTGTTGTTGATACAAAGATTTTATATAAAAGGACCTGCCTGTATAGTAAAATTTTAAATGTATGACAAATTAGTGGTAGAAATCATTTATGAATATTTGTGTTACTTAAAAACTAGTCTGACGTCATAATGGGCAATTGAATAAGAAGCTATTAGCGATCTTTTTGCATAATTTTGAAGAAGAAGAAAATATATCAAAATTGTCCATCAAACCTTGTTGCCCTGTTTTATGTTCTTTTAACTTTAAACAAAAGTGACCTGACTACTTCTATACCTCTGATTTCGCCAATATTAAAACGGTCGTCACTGTTTAAAAATTCAATTCATGGTCATAAAAATATCAATTTTTGGTAAAATTTGCGAAATAGCTTTCACAAATCCCGTTTCACACATTATGCTTTAAATCTAAGGGAAGGAAGATATTAAATGATTATTACTAAATAATAATTTTACTTAATAAAGGAATTCGAAGATTAAGGAAAATAACTCGTAGACTTGAAAATATTTTATGTGACAATGTCACTGACAGACTGACACTACTGACAGTGTTGACAGAGCATCTTCTTCCAATTTTTTTCCTTTACGCAATCAATTTCACATAATTTCACTACAAGGTGCCCCTTATGACGTCACAGCCGTTTTGAAATATTATAAAAAATTCAGTTTTAAATAATTATTTTAAAACTGTTCCGACGCATTTCTCAATCTCTAATTGCGCATACACACTAATTAGTACGTGTACAATTATATTATCTACTTTTTGAAATTTGGTCAACAACGCTATTATCATTCAGCATTCTACAAGTATAAAATATATTCTCGACAAGAAAAATGCAGAATAATTATTCAAATGAAGATTTTTTGAATTTATTTTATACCCATGGGACATTCACCATGAATCAGTATTAGCTGCATTTCTATGATTTGGTATTTTACAACATTTGACTCGGCCAGCTACGTACAATAGCGTTCTTTGTAAATCATTGAAATATATATATATTTTCATTATTACATTAATAAAATGCGTTGTTTGACATTTGTTGCATCTTCTAATAATGAAGGGGTATATATTTACAAAAAAATAATAATAAGATTTCCTTCCAATGGGATACTATTATTAGTAACTGCAAGTACAGAAAACAGCAAATAAGCATCATTTCATTAAGAAAACAATGAAATGTAACCAAAATTTTAAATTACAGTATCCTCTCAACCCCATTCCAAATATCATAAAATTATAATAGGTAATGCATTTATTAGTTATTTGAAATTATTTATTTTTGCTGTTCTTTAAAAACTTTTATGGCAACATTAAAAATTAGAGAGAAATTCTAAGAAAACCAACCGAAATCATTTCATTAATTGTTCTGTTTCAGTTGCAAAATGCCAAATCATAGAAATACAGCTAATAATTTTGATTCACGGTGAATGTTCCATTGATATAAAATAAATTCAAAATATCTACATTAGAATAATTATTCCGCATTTTTATTGTCGAGAAAATACTTGATGCTTGTATAATACTGAATGACAATACCAATATTTGCCTTTCAAGGCGCATTTGATGATATTTTAACGTAATATTCTTGAAAATATAAGTAAATCGCAAATACCTATCTGAGAAAATTGAAACTGTAACCCCTACAATGCCTATATCGGTGAAAAGAGAATTTGATTTTCTATAATATGATGTAGAAAAATACGTGTATTATTTGAATTTAAAAAGTTTTGTCGGTTTTAAGATATCAAAATGTTACGTGAAAATGGGACACAGTATAATTTTCTTCAGTTAATTTTGATAGCGGAAGGTAGTGCATCTTATGTGCTTTGTGTATTCCGAAAAGCAATTGAAGTCTCCCAGAATGAAGAAAGATATAAGGAATTTTCGAAACGCTTGCATCTGTCAAAATTTTTATAAAATCTCGATTATCTCGAAAACGGCTAGATTTAGGTACAGGAAACCTTTAACATTTTTGACTAATTTTTTCAATTTATCTTGTCGATAATGAAATAATATATAAAGTGTTATGTTTACAATAACGAAGTTGACAGCTACTTCCGGTGTAACCAGAAGTGCTGCGTGATAGCATTATTTTCATTGAAGAGGACATATCTGATAACCCCCGTAAACAAAATTTCAGTCATATTGTCTTTGGTTCCTCTGAAACGTTTAATAGGCCACATACCGTTAAGAACCCTGTAACTGGTATAAGTATAAGAAATTTTATTATGAATAAAAATGTTTCTGTGAAGATAAATAATAAGAAACAATTTTTCGGCCTATTTCCCTTGATTGCGACAAAACAATCTATTTTTTTCGAAAGGCACGTTTAACAGATCATATATAGGTAGATTTCAAGTCGAATGACATTAAAGTCTGCTAAATAAGTTAAAGATTTCTAACAGACACTCGCATTTGTTGTCTGTGTGTTAGTACACATACAATTAGGTATTAGAGAACTATTTTCTTGGTTACCTTACTTAAATTGCCTTATATAATATTGAATTTTCAACCGACATTGATCTTATTTAATGCAAAATTTAATTTTCCACAAAATTTGGTAGTAAATGTTTTTCTAAATGCCGGATTGTTTTGGCGTGGTCTATGAAAGTAAGCGGAAAATATAGTTATAAAAGTTTCTTGAGGCCATATACTTACAGGATCTTTTTTGTTCAGCGTAAAATTTCCTATGAGGTTCCAAAGTTTTTGCGTTTTGTAAGCTTTAAATGAATCTACAAAGTATCTACTTACTTGATGTTTCAAGTTTTCATCTGTTAAATTTGTGGCGTATGCCCAATTCGCTAAAGCTACTTTGTTTTCATTTTCTTCAGTTCTTTTGTTTATTGCTCTTAAAAGATTTTGTGCTTGGAGTTCTTCTTCTTCTATTGCAGGATCTTTGGCTGTTATTAGGCAGATCCAACACAGGCCAATTAAAATAAGTTTTTTAAACATAACTAACCTGCAAAATAATAAATCATGTACCTACGTATTTTTTTTATGAATGTTTTGACAGAACTTTCAATTTTGACAATTACATAATTACATTTTTTAGAAGGCGTCTAATATAAGAGGTGATTGGTGAAACCATCTTAAAGGTCTTGCTGAAAATATATCAANAAAAATTGTTACCTAGACTTTTATAAGTGGAAATGGTAAAAGGGCTTATAATAAACCTAAAAAAGGTAAATGCGTGAGCAGAGACGGCGGAGAGTTGATTTGGGGGGTTGAAAAGTTATGAAAAATTGTATCATTGGGATTTCTGGCGAAAGTTGACGTCAAACAAAAAAGTATTTAATACAAAAGTTGGATGTATCTGGGTAGGTACCCTAGTCTACTCAAATTTAATCTTTTTTCTAAATTTGTGACTATTAACCTTTTTTTTTTTAATCTATCGACTTACCTATTGAGATAGGGTAAACTTATAACTGTGCTACAAATAAATAATTTTAGACAGTAGAGCAAATTTGCTTAATATTTTATTTCATTTGTTAAAACGAACTTTTATTTGCCTCAGTATTAAACAGGTTCTGAAATTTCCTTTATTTTATGTTATTATATTATATCTTTCATTTGGAATAGTTTCCATATTGTAATACTATTTTAATATATTCCGTGTTGGAAGCTAATCTGTTCCTAATATAGAAAATTGTACAACGAACAATTGTTCGAAATTATAGAGGCTTGAGGTACCTTTACTTCCAACCTTAAATTTTGATTAATAGATACGTTCACACATAGCCATGTAAATGTTTGGCAGTATTATTGAGAAATATCCATAGACACTTGGAATAAGTATAAAAGCTATTTAATATGATTACAAATTTAGCAAAACGGTTTAGTTGCATTAGAATACTCCGAAATACTGTCTAATCCATTAATGTACTTGATAGTAGTGAAATCAATTTTTCTCGGCAGGTGTACCTTTTTTTAAAGAAATTAAATAGGGTTTTTAGAATACCTATGTAAGTTTCCATGTCAATACATTTTAAATATTGATACCTGACTATTGAATTTGAACGTTACTTTACAGGTATACTTATTTTCTAATAGAATTTAGTAACAATTTCGTCGTCGATATAAACAATTGAATATTTTTAAATTTATTTGTGTTTTCTTCCTTTTATTTTATAAACTACAAAGGAAAACAATATTTCGTAAAAACTGAAACTAGTTGGCAGTTATAGAAAAAATGTCTCTCCATCTTCATTACAAAAATTTTCCCGACTACAATATATTATAATATAAAAATAGGAAGCGAGCATTATTCATCTGTTACGATGTAATTAATTCGTCAATTTAGTTTATGTATGACATCACACATTCTTTATCATCAGTTTGTTAATAAAAACAAAAGCAAATTGGATTATTATAAAACATTAATTTGGCAATGTTTTGTTTTGTATATAAAGATTTCTTTTCTGGATTTTGATCCCTAGTTACAAAAATGATTACAGAACAAAATGTAATGCTCTAATTGCTATATATTTTCAAATGTTATTCAGAATTTATCTTCTTTTATTTTTGTATAAAGGAACGCTAACATCTAAAATAATTAAATTAATAAAATTAACTTTATTAAATTGATAAAACTTACTAAGTGAATATTTCGAGAAGTATTATAGAACGTTAGTAATTAATAGATATTAATATTCATAAGGAACTTGAAACTGATATTGATTGTTTTATTAAATGAAATTATTATAATCAGATTCCTTATACCTTAGCACAATTTGTTTTGTATATTACCCTGTTGTCATTGTCCAATAAGATATTGATTAATATTAAAATTTTAAATAATATATGAACATTTGCACCCAAAGAAAATTTTATTCATTAAATACAGATATGTTACCTTGCTATTATTTACTTGGTTATCGGCTATCAGCACCTCACAATCAGTTTCGTCTTCAAGTAACACTCGAATTTTTTGGACATTCTATCCGAATTAAAATTTACATTCGACTATGTTTTGTGTATATGATTATCTGAATAATAAATTATAAATAGATTTATAATTGTCAGATGGCGCAGAATAATTTTATAGTTAAAAGTTCAAACATATCACATAACATTCAAAAAATTGATTACAATATTTTCCGTTTTTATTTGGTATTCACATAATTTCTCGTGTGTATATAAATAAGTAGGATATCAAATAAAGATAGAAATGTCGTTACATTTTCAGAGGACAGTTGAAGACGTTTGGACTTTTGTTACAATCATTTTCAAGATAAAAAATATAGGTACAGATTTCTAACATTCTGTTGTCGCTTCCAAGCGGAATTTGGAATGAAGAAATTATATAACTTATTTTTTACATCTCAACAAAAAATATTGAACAGACTTGGAAAGCCCTCGACTCTTTTAATATACCTACTATACTGTAAGAATTTTACTTTGCCACCACAGTTGACTGACCCTAATGAAATTAATAACAATAATAACTTAATTTCTGGGAAATATTTCTAATAATTGTCCTTATAGTCCAACCAAATTACACTTGGAGAAAAAAAAAATTGTTACCTAGACTTTTATAAGTGGAAATGGTAAAAGGGCTTATAATAAACCTAAAAAAGGTAAATGCGTGAGCAGAGACGGCGGAGAGTTGATTTGGGGGGTTGAAAAGTTATGAAAAATTGTATCATTGGGATTTCTGGCGAAAGTTGACGTCAAACAAAAAAGTATTTAATACAAAAGTTGTAGATAATGCAAAAATCTACAACTTTTGTAGAGGTCACTTTTTAACATAACCTCAAAATTTCCGAGAAAAATGCGAAAAACAGTTTTTTATGATTTTTCGTTTTTTATTTCTCTTTTCCGCAAAAATAATTTAATTTTGACGAAGCTTGGTGAAAGTATACCTTCACCTGTCTTAAATAACCTCAAAATTTTTTAGATAAAAAAATCAAGAAGTTTCTGAGATATTCATTTTTTTCGGCCTGAAACACTTTTTTCAAAGAAAAATTCTACTTAAAAAAATCATCGTACAGAGTTCTGCCGATATTCATTTTCTTCGTTTTAACATATACTTTTTGGTGAAATAAAAAATCTGTAATAACATTTCATAAACATACTCAAAAATGCAAGAAAAGTAAAAAATGACTTGTAACTATGAATTTTTCAGTTATTGTTGATAATTTGTTTAAATTAAAAAACATTCAAAAACTGATTACACCATTCAATTCTACAAAAAACTGTGTCTCATTGTTTGACCTAAAACTTTATTTTTGTACAGTATTGCTATAAACATCTAAGTCGAATTACAAATAAATTATCTCTGGACGATTTGACATTTCTGCAATACAAAGTATTAACTGTAAACCGAAAACACGAAATTTTGCAAAATTGTTTTATTTTTTTCTGGCTTTATTTGAAAAAGAATTTTAAATAAATTGCATACTTACATTGCCACTTTTTTCGCTCTATCCAATGGCGTCAGCATTTTTGCAATTCGACGTTTCGTCTTCGAGGGGCTATCATCAGATTAAATTTTCTAAACTACTATTTTTATGACAAAATCTAGTCATTTTTAATTCTGTGTTAGATGATATTACTATTGCAATCGCTTAAAAAGGTTTTTAGCTATCATTAAAAATTGTGTGAGTACGGCTCTGAACGCTTTCAAAATACCTGTATCTGTTGGAGGAGAGAGAGGGGGGGGAGAGAATAAAATCCAATACAGCACAAAATATCCAACAATTTTTTTTAATCCATAAACTTAACAAAAAAATAATACGAATTTATGAAATATTTTATTATTTCTAATTAGTATTGCTAATAGCAGTAAAAAATTGTTGGATATTTTGTGCAGTATTGACTTTTATACTGTTATGACTTCATCCAAGAGATATTTTGAAAGCGTTCAGAGCTGTACTCTGGAAAAATTTTAAATTATAACTAAAACAAGCTAAAAACTTTTTAAGCGATTACCATAGTAATATCCTCTAATTCAGAATTAAAAATGGCTTTATATTTTGACATAAAAATAGCAGCTACTTCTTTAAAAAAATTAACCCGATGATGGCCCCTCGAAGACGAAACGTCGGATTGCAAAAATGTTGACGCCATTGTATTGAGCGAAAAAAGTGGCACTGTAAATATGTAATTTATTTTAAAATTCGTTTTTAAATAAATCCAGAAAAAATTAAACAATTTTGCAAAATTCCGGGTTTTTCCGGATATCTCCGGAACTACCCGGAATTTTAAAAGTTTCTAAACAACATATTGTTAGGTATAAAAAAACTTTTTTCTAATCTGAGCCATCCCGTATCTCTTACCGTTTCCTAGATCCTAATGCCTATCCCATCCTTATATTGGACACACTGTATATCTATGTCTTCATCAAACTTAAAAAAAATTAGTACACTAATCGATCCTATGGAAAAAAATATTATTTATTTTATTTATTCACTATTCGACTTATGTTTATAGCAATACTGTACAAAAATAGTTATGGGTGAAACAATGGGACAGTTTTTTTTGTATTTTTTCCGTACAATTGAATGGTGTAATCAGTTTTTGATTTTTTTTTTAAATTTAAACAAATTATCAACAATCACTGAAAAATTCATTGCTGCAAGTCATTTTTTACTTTTCTTGCATTTTTGANACTGAAAACTTCTAGCATCAACATCCGACTAATTTGTATCAGATTCAATTACAAATTTAATTTAGTTATTCGGCCTTGAAAGCTTTTAAATTGTTTCAAGAGAAACAAATTTCCAATCTGGTGATCTCCGTTACACTAACGAATCGAAAAATAAGTTTCCAAAGTTTCCAAATCACGTAGATCGCAAGATAATTGAATGTGTTGAAATGTCATAGAGTTTCCATGACAGTTTCCAAACTTGAAGATATTAATATTTACTGATTACGACTGGAAATGTCAACAGGCATTTGAAAAACTTAAATAAGCTCATGTTTACCACCGACATTGGCTTATCCACGAGCAGGTGAACA